TTATTGTAGGCATTGTTATATATTTCAAGTATAACATATTAATAAATGCAAAATAGTATTTAAGCTAGTAATAAGAGCACAGATGTGTAAAGGAAAATTATTATCAATTAAGCTTTTCATTTTTACCTTTACTTTTATCCACTGCAATTACTCAATAGGTTTTCTTGAGTTGAGAAGCCTCAGAAGAGTGGATCATTTTATAATCCAGAGCTGCTTACAGTAGCATGACAACAGTTGCGTAACTGTGGTGAAATAAAAACACAGATTTACTCTAAACTTCCCCTCCATTGACAAGGCTGCATAGGCATTAATGCTCTTTTAGCAAGTATTCTCTTTTATTCCAGGGATTAGTTCACTGAACAGTAACGACTGGCTACCTTGGCACATGCAGACATGTCTCCCTGGAAGTGCTGTCTCTTACCTGGCTAGGAGACCCTTAACCATCTGCTCCAGCAGAGCACGCACGTTATCTTAGGAAACAGCAAAATGTCTCTTCCCCATCCTTCTTCAAGCTGCATTTCTAATGAACTTAGGCCAGGGCCCTCAAGTGCCTACTTACCACCTATGGCAGGGACCAATCTACAGATGGTGCTCAGAGGATTTATTGCACCAGGCCAGTAAGATCCCACTGTTACTGCCTTTCTGTGGCAGTAACTCTGAGCTTTATCTTTGCATTGCTGTGATGTTAAGGGCACACTTCTCATATTAAGCTGAATAAAGAGTGTCACTATATATTAACCTTAACTGCACAGAATATAATTGAACTCAATGGGGCTACTGCCCTCTGTGTTTCAGCGGGACTTGACTTAGAAGAAATAATAATTCACTGGTTTACAAAGGCAGAAATAAACTTTATTATACAGGAAGTGCAGGTGCAATACTGTGATTATAGACACTGGTATGATTCACCTTGAGATTTTAGTTATGTCTTGCCGAAAGAAGCTATTATCAAGCCCCAAATGACTCCAACAACACTGCTATCAATGTGGCATTTAGAAGTTCCTTCCCTAGTGGGAACAAAACCATCTCTTTTCTTCCAATGTTGAAAATTAAATGCACAGTATTAGCACCATCAATGAGGTGTTTAACCTGAAGATTGCCTTTCCTGGTGAGAATGAAAACATTACTTGTTTCCTTTTTTGAAATTAACAGCAGTGTTTTTCTCTCTTTTCTACTGTGTGCACTTGTTTAATCAACCTGAGACACAGTATGTCTCTGGTGCTCAGAGAGCATTGCGGGAATACAACAATGTCTGTGTGTGCACGTGCTTGACATCCCGTGCTCCGGGGCTGAGATCTAGCCTGTTTCCAGTAGGATTCAAGCACACAATAATAAAGTAGAAAGAACATGTCTGGGAAAAAAACAGATAAGGAAGACAAAAGGCTGGATTTTGGTTTAAGTCATCTTTGTACCAACAACAAGGCTACGTTGATGCAGAAGGAACATTAGCGAAAATTAACCCAAAATTAACAGCATAGGGTGCCAGAAAGGTACCACAGAAGTTGCACACTACAGCCAAAAACTGTTGTGAGCCATTCCACAGAAGCGTGCGGGACTGTCCTCTGACTTTTCTCTAGCTGTCACCTATGTTTGTGTTCACACATATGGTCAGCAGTGGGCAAAGAGGTGAAATGGCTTTCAGTTCATTTGTCATCCAAAATTGGGCAAGAAAAAGTTGTTCTAGCTAGTCCTTGAGCCACTTGAGGACCGGATAACATGTTAAGCTTTGTAGCTGTACTGCGTCCCAACACTCCCTAGAATGATGCTTCTGGAGGAGTCCAGGACTCACAGGCGAGTCCATATAATCATATGCACGTGGGGTGACCAAGAGCAGACACAAAACTCTGAGGTGTGGAGGCCTACCTTTGATGTTTGGCATCAGGAGCTGTCATTCACCCAGCAACACCAGAATGTGACTTCTGGGGATCCCTCTGAGTCTATGGGATTGCCCCTATCACCCGCTTGGAGTCTGATCCTCGCCAGCTCCTACTCTTACCTGGTATATGAGCAGCACAGCATGGACTAGTCCTTAGTCGCTTCACTTGGTAGCTCAGATGGTTGCGGAGGAGGACAGGGCGTTCAAGGCTGTGCTGTTTGCTCTGCTATCTTTGCAAAAGTACAGGCAGTCCTGCCACGGCTACTCAGACCTGGCTGAA